AAATGTTCATCATGAAACTTCATCAACTCATCTTGTTTAAGTATAAAATGAAGAGGAGCAGGTTGAATTGGCTTTTGCTAAGCTTAGTGGTTGATTGATCCGACTCCACAGCTGATGCTTAGACAAGAATCTTGATTTTAATCAAATATGAATCAAATGAGAAAGAGTGACCTTGGACTGGAGAGAAAAATCAGAATGATGTTTTTTCTCTGTGACCTGCATTGGGAACCCTGTGTGTGTTATGACACACAGGGTGGACTGGATGGAAACTTTTGACAGACATGTGACCTTTGCCCCACTTCACTATCCCTCTTCTCTCTATGCATTTTCCTGCTGCGCCTCATGTGACCAGCAGTGTGAGGTTTCATCATGGGGGTCGGGACCTGCACTACTCATAGTGGTCTTCTTGTGCAAGGTCAGCCTTTGGTTCCTAACCCAGAGCTGACTGCAGTGAGTGCAGTAGGGACACGTGTCAGGGAGCGCAGGAGAAAAGTCACACTGCAGCCGCATGAGGTCTACCAGCCATCTGACAGCCACACAGTGACAAACAGCATGCCTCTCTATGAGAGTCGTTGGCTGCTTCGCCATATTTAGAGCGCTTCTGTTTGCTCATCTTTGGAAAACAAGCCATGAAACATTAGCCTGTAAGTGTAGAAGGAAGGAGATTTGTAGATGATTATTGCCATTCAGTCTTTTTGTTGAAGTGCTTCCCGTGGGGCAGAGTGTGGAGTGTGTGGAAGTGTTGCATTATCACCAAGGTAACTGAGGCACCACATTTCTTTTCTTAATCAGTGTCCCTTTAACTACAGTTTAAGGAATTGAAGCTCTTCATGTTAATCTTAGTCTCAGAGGGGAAGTTACACACAGACTACATGTGATGCGGTTTGTGACTTCAGTGTCTTCCGCTAAAAACAGTTCTTGGTACAACTATTCTTTCATTGTGACACATTTTGTCTAGAAATACAACTTCGACGTGTTATACTAGGATTTAAGGTGACAAAAAGTGAGAAGTGAAAGAGAGAAAAAAAATCAGTTTCAGTTTGCACCTCTTAAAAACTTTCACATTGTGTTTTCTTTTTGCTTCTTCTTTGCAGAATGAATCCAGTCCAGGTCATTTTGTTTGGATGAAGGGTGTCTCTTTCCATGCTCTAATCTGTTTTAAGTTTTGGCATACAGAGGATTGCAGCAATGCGTGTCAATGTTTGTCACATTTTACCTGCACTCTTAACTCCACATGTTTGCTGTTTTTCCCAGATTTGCTAAATTTGTGAGTGCTTCCAGCTTATCTATGGATCGCCTCGCCATGTGAGATGTCCAAAGATTATGTTTTCTCACCTGATTCTACTTCAACTGAGATTAGGCTACACGTAGATTGACTGTTTAATGATCCTGAGAGCATTGGTCACTATGTATTTATTCAAAGTGTTACTTTAATTTAGGGGTAAGGAGGATTAAACAGAACTGTCATGGTGTTCTAGGTCGAGCCTCCGATTGCCAAGCGGGTGACCTGGGTTTGAATGCCAGTTGTGACAGGGAGGGCATCTGATGTAAAAATTGACAAATGTTGCTATGGCAACCCCTGAAAATGGGTGCAGCCAAAAGAACACAGAGTGAGGAGGGCTAAAGTATATCATGTTTTGTGATTTTTATCTGTGAAATCCAGCTATCCTTTTATATTAGTTATGCATTGTTTTTTTGTTGGTTTATCTCGTGAAATTCCAAGAAAACAAATCCAGGTTTAAAGATGAAGCAGTATAGAAAATGTTAATAGATGTGGGTACTTCAGTCATCTGTGTCATTTTATATGTAAATGTAATGGATATCTACAGCAGACTTCATTTTATTTAAGGTATGTAATTAAGATTTTATTTGTCACTGCTGAATCGTCCAGTTCGACAGGAAGATTCACAGCTTTCAAAGAAAACTGCAGCAAATACTGCTGATTAAGACAAGGAGTCAACTCCACTCTTAGATTTTGTCTTAAACGAGTTACCTTTGACTTTAACCTTTTAACTCCTGATTATCGAAGACGTTATGGCACAACTCCTTACTAAGTGTAGTTAAGAGGAAATCAAGTGTGACTGAGTTATATCACTCTAACCTCCAGGCTGAGGTTGGAGTGGCTCTGGTATCATCTGCAGAGCTATAACGTGCCTTTGGGCTGCTGGCCTTTCTTCATGTTCTGTTATGTGTCAAATGACCTTGCTGCACTCCCCAACTCCCCCCCTACACCCCCCCTGATCTTGTACTGGAGTGTGGTCTGACTGGTGAACTTGCTCTGCCATTGGCTTGTCATTCTCCCAGGCCAAGTAAGGAGAGTGGAGGTGGGTGGGTTTTTTTTTTTTTACAACTACCTTTCACCTCCAACAACTGTCAGCACAAATGCTCTGTGGAAAGAACCAGCGTCAGAAAGAGGTTTCATCAAACCTCCTCGCTGGTAACTTCCTGAATTTGACTGAAATTGACGAATTGATTGGGTGATAAAAATGTCAAGTTTGAACTAAGTTTCTTTTTTTTGTGTAAGATTATTCTCAGCAGCATCTTCTTATGCTGGCTCTGAGTCAATTGATTAAGCAGGTGAACCAAATTATCTGCTAAATCAAATAAATCAATTTGGAGCCTTTGATTATATTTCACCAATTTGATTTGATAATGAAAGATTGTGTCTTTTACTTCATGGGATATAAATTAAAACGATGTGACCAACTCTTACCAAGTCTCGCCTTTAGGTAAAGTAAGAAAATAGAAGACAGCCATCTAATTTTATTAGATTTTTTTACTATTTCAAAAATATTTTTTATGTTTTTTTAAATAAATTTTAAATAGAATAGCATTAGTTTGTATTTTTCCTCCATAAAGATACATATTTCCAAATTATGAATAAGAATTATGGGATGCTAACGAAGGTAAAGTAATTGGGACATGTCTTTATGTCATTTCAAAGCTGAACGGTGGAATATACAGAACTGTGAGAAATCTTAACCTTCATGCACCTGTTGAAAAAAAACCTCACCTTTCAGATATAATTCAGCAGCTATTATGACGTTACAACTCGTTTACATTGGATCTCATGCTGTATAAACCTAGTGGGCTCAGTTTAGCCTGCAGTTATTTTGTTAAGATCACTGAAATATAATCTGTAGGTGCTGACAATAGAGACATCCTTTTCATATCAGCCATGAGCATATTAATCGTTTTTTTGGTGGTTTTTGTTTGTTTGTTTGATTTCCCATGTCTTGGGTGGTACTTTAATAATGTGGTTTTTGTATGCATTTGTCTGTCATGGTGGCTGTTTTCTTTTCTTTTCTCTCTTTTGCTTCTCATTTCTCTAGACTCGCAACAAACCAAAAAGAAGTATTCTGTATTTTCTCTATTTTTCTTTTTCGTTTTTATTTTCCGAATCTCTCCTTTATTCTCTCTTTCTTCCCCTTACTTCTCATCTCCTCTTCCTTTCTCATTTCCAATTCTGTCTCGGTGTCCATTGCCTTTTTTCCCCATAGACGCCTCTAATAGTTTTAATACGAAATCACCAAGTGGAACCTTATGAACCTTGTTAAAGCAAATCTGTTAAGGTATAATCCAGCACCGGGAATCAATTCCTCAGCTCTTTATTGGCAAACAAGACACATAAAAAAATATGTTTATAAAAATAATAACAATAATAAGCTATTTTTTACCCAGGAAATTTAGCTAAACAGGTTTATAGGATTTCCTTCTCTCGCCTGTAAAGGGTAACCCACACTATTGGCTAAGCTTCTACTGATACAACTCTATGCACTCTTTCATATTTCAAACCTAAAAACGGTCCCTGCCGTCATCTGCTTAGCCATGTTTCTACTCTAGATTATGCCATTAAAAGAACCATTGTGTTATATATGTTGTGAATAAGTGATATATATAAAATAACTGAGTTGAATCTAGTTGTTTTTGTTCTTTTTTTATATCAATTTGACCAAGCAAGCCTTTATCTTTCATAAGACCGATTCCTGTACAGAAACAGTGGGAAGATAAAAAGCACTGGTTGTTTGGGAAATGATTAAAAAAGAGCATGCTCTGATATGAGAGATAAAAATTGCCAAATTTATTGGTGTTTTTTCAAACTGAAAACTAATATTCATCTCCGTTGACTCCATTTAGAGTCTATCAAGCTCATAAGTCAGGCTCTCTGCTTAGATAGGTCCTTCAGTCATAACGACCAAAGCTGCGAAATGTTATCTATCTAATTAGAGTGTTAGCCTCTACTCTAGTTCAACAGTTTTCCTTCAGAGATCTTGGTTGCAAGATTAGTTCTACGGAGGTTTTTCTCTACAGTTTTGGTGCTTTCACTCTCCACTGTCCTTCAATGATTACGCAGTAAAGGTCTCTGCTCAGTGTCTCCTGAACAGTCCCTCAATTTATAGACATTAAGTGTTTCTTCTGAGGGAACTGATTCATTAGTTTGGGCATCAGCTCTGGAAGACAGAATGGTTGGAGCTCTGTTAGTTTACAAATAACTCTTTCTGACATTCAGGAATATTTATGTGACATACAAATTGGTCTTTCTTTGCAAGAAGGTGAAATCGGGACTTTGGGGTTAATTAATTAAACACAAGCAGCATTTAGCAATAGGGTTGTTAAAGGGAGATGATGCTTTGGGAGAAAAACCCTCAGTTAGATACACATACTTATTATTTCCTTGTTTGGTTATTTCACTACATTAAAGTTAATCTTAGTGTCTAGCTGTTTGTTTCACATTAATATCAGTGGAATAATAAGTCTTTAAGCCACTATGGGGCAGCTTGCATTTTCTCTGGGATTCTAGCAGCACCCTACGTTTACCTGTGTTACAAAGGAAAACCAGCTAACTGCACGTCGGATGTGTTTGGGAACAAAGATGACAAAACAGTCTGTTGGTATGTTTCAACCCGTCCCCCTCCCAGTGACTCTCCAGCGAGCGGCTTGCTGCGTCTCACGCGTCTGTGTTTCTGTTTGAGGAGGGGCGTGTTTCTGCTATTCATAGTTGTGAGAACAGAGAGGTCTATTAGAGGTCAGTGGGAGCCCTTCTAATAGCTACTGCACCACTGCCTTTCAGATAACTGCACCTCGCCACTGTGAAACACAACCTCGACCCTTTGCCATTTACGCTCTGTGAGTACAGATATGGTTAAATGTTTGTGTGTGGATAATCTGAGCTGTGCTGTCTGATAATATGCTCAAGTGCATTTAAGTTCAACTGACTTTGGTTTAGTATTGTGATCATCTGATTCCTCTAACATGGGTAAAAGTAACAGGTGTCAGAGGAAAAGAAGCTTTTGTCAGTCCTCGTTTTTATTCTTTTTCAAGAAGCTAAATCATTAGCAGTTATGTCTGTTTTTTTAATGATATTTCTTCATACTTTTATTTATTTCACAAATAACTCTTTATTCTATTTGCTTGTGTACTTTGCTCCACTTGGCACTGGTCCCATTTGCCATGAGCTTCAAGGTAATAATAGAAGTAGGTGAAAAGTCTTTTGTATTTTACTCAATGACTTCATTTACCTTCACCACAGAGGTCAGATCATTTGAACTGAATGTCCTGAGGTTTATAGCAAACATTACCTAGGACAAATATATGAGCCGATTAAAGAGTCAATTATTAATAAGTCTGAGTCTATTCTGGGAATTTATCTAAAACTATTACCAACTGTATTTATGCTTCAAGAGCAGCTGTAGCCCATTAGATGTTTGATTAAAATCACAAAATCTCTAATTCTGCAATGTGTGATTTTAATTTCACATCTTTTGTTCTGCTGCAACAAAACAATCTAGAAATAAGTAAAAGCAAAACCTTAAATTAATTTGAGTTGGTTAATAATTTGATTTGCTAAATTTTTATAATTAGATAATATGCACTTGAAATAACACTATGTAATCGTTGTTCTTGTTTTAAATGTAAATGGTCTTGTTCCATTTGAAAACTGTCTCACTTGCATCCTCAATTCAAGAAAAAAATGCACTTATTTAAAAAGAAAAAAACTTTTTAGATTAAATTTTTATTGCAACATGTTAGTGGAGAGAGAGAAGAAAAAAAAAAAGGTTTCAGCCCAGTGACTTCATGTTTAAAGTATCCCAATCGGAAAGCTTTTTCTCCCCTCCCGAAGCAAGTGGTTGACCCTGTGGTTGTTTCCTTATGTCTCCGTCGAGGATTGTGATCAGAAACGTGTGTGGAGTCGGATTTCCTTCCATAGCACAGCTGTTACATGGGAGAGCAGAACAAATCTTCCCCTTTAAACAGAAAAACTGAAAATCAGCTCTGTAAATGAGAGGGCTTCACGAGGAGCTGAAAGATGCTGGTTATGTGTTTTTTCACATTAAGTTTCTCTGGCCGTACTAGAGATGCCCTTATCAGGATTAGCAGTTTTCCATTGTTTGTTTACCATCGTTTCCCGTGACTCATGCAGTCAATAAAAAGGTAAAGCAGCAACAGATACCTACTGCCTGCAGGTCAGTCTCTGATTGTTGAAATGAACCCCTTTTCCCAACGCAGGCTTGATGGCATCTCTGTCCACTAGTGTCACAAGTTAGAGAAAAATTCACATGCAAAATGTTTAGCAGATACATGAAGAGCTACTGGGAGAGTCACAGATTGCTGTCAAAGATGAACTTTATCCACTGTCCCCTGGCAGTTTGGTCAACAGACAAAGAGAGAATATCTTAGCGGACTTTTCTGGTACGAACAAAGAAAAGAAAAAGAAAGAAACAAGCCATTTTCACACTTGAGATTTTCCAGCAGGTTTTACCTGAGGTCTTACCCATCATTTTATGTGAAAAAAAGTCAGATTTTTAAGTGATGCCTCCTTTAATTTCCATAGAAACCCCATTCCTGTTGGCCCACGACCCTAAGTGGGATTCTCACACCAATTTTGAGAATCATTGCTCTGAATGTGATTGCTGAAAAAAATTTGGAAAAAACAAATATGGTGTCATTAGATATTTATGCGCCTTAGATCTTTGGGTTTCAGAAATACAGAATAATAAATGCAACAAAGTTAATAGACTCTCTCTGAATCATAAACATGATTCCTTTTTGTTTTATTACTAAACATTATTATGCTATAAAAGTTCTACCTTTGTCTGCTGGTTTTTGAGTCATTCTATCAACATGTCAGGTAGAAATGTGCAAACCGCAATAAGAAATGGAAGCTAAAATCACTTGATTCCTAAAGATAGCATGGGTGTAATTGGCTATAGATCATAGCACCATCAATGCAAAATGCAATATTCTAGAAAGCTTTAATTGGAGGTGAACCACTCAATGCAAAAAGCAGGTTCACTCTAGTTTATGTCTTTATTCGGGATGTTTGGATCAGGAGTCATTTGAGAGTCGTTTGCAAATAAATACCAAGGATAAGCTAGAAAGCTCAGTGGCTTTTAAACATAAGTAAAATGGCACATTTTAATAGGATTACTAACTTATTAAATAATAATTACGTATTAAATTACGAACAGGAGGCTATAGTCACTGTTATTTTTCTCTCACGTCAACTTTATTATATTTTTTTCTATGCAAGTTTCTGTGTAATCCTCTTACTTTCTAAAAATATGTGTGACTTAAGTCTTAAGTTATGTGTTTTTCTTGCTGATGATGTCTTCACTTAGGTACAGGTGCTGGTCATAAAATTAGAATATCATGAAAAAGTAGATTGATTTCAGTAATTCCATTTAAAAAGTGAAACTTGTATATTATATTCATACATTACATACAAACTCATATATTTCAGATGTTTATTTTGTTTAATTTTGATGATTACAAATGACAACAAATGAAAATCTCAAATTCATCATATCAGAAAATTAGAATATTACTGAAGACCAATAAAAACAAAGGATTTATAGAAATGTTGGCCAACTGAAAAGTATGAACATGAAAAGTATGAGCATGTACAGCACTCAGTATTTAGTTGGGCCTCCTTTGGCCTGTATTACTGCAGCAATGCGGCGTGGCATGGAGTCGATCAGTCTGTGGCACTGCTCAGGTGTTATGATAGCCCAGGTTGCTCTAATAGTGGCTTTTAGCTCTTCTGAATTGTTGGGTCTGGTGTATTGCATCTTCTTCTTCACAATACCCCATAGATTTTCTATGGGGTTAAGGTCAGGAGAGTTTGCTGGCCAATTAAGAACAGGGATACCATGGTCCTTCAACCAGGTACTGGTAGCTTTGGCACTGTGTGCAGGTGCCAAGTCCTGTTGGAAAATGAAATCTGCATCTCCAAAAAGTTGGTCAGCTGCAGGAAGCATGAAGTGCTCTAAAACTTCCTGGTATGTGGCTGCGTTGACCCTGGACCTCAGAAAACACAATGGACCAACACCAGCAGATGACATGGCACCCCAAACCATCACTGACTGTGGAAACTTTACACTGGACTTCAAGCAACGTGGATGAAGTGCCTCTCTTCTTTTCCTCCAGACTCTGGGACCTTGATTTCCAAAGGAAATGCAAAATTTACTTTCATCAGAGAACATGACTTTGGACCACTCACCAGCAGTCCAGTCCTGTTTCTCTTTAGCCCAGGCAAGACGCTTCTGACGCTGTCTGTGGTTCAAGAGTGGCTTGACACAAGGAATGCGACAGCAGAAACCCATGTCTTTCATACGTCTGTGTGTGGTGGTTCTTGAAGCACTCACTCCAGCTGCAGTCCACTCTTTGTGAATCTCCCCCACATTTTTGAAGGGGTTTTGTTTCACAATCCTCTCCAGGGTGCGGTTATCTCTCTTGCTTGTACACTTTTTTCGACCACATCTTTTCCTTCCCTTCGCCTCTCTATTAATGTGCTTGGACACTGAGCTCTGTGAACAGCCAGCCTCTTTAGCGATGACCTTTTGTGTCTTGCCCTCCTTGTGCAAGGTGTCGATGGTCGTCTTTTGGACAACTGTCAAGTCAGCAGTCTTCCCCATGATTGTGTAGCCTATAGAACTAGACTGAAAGACCATTTAAAGGCTTTTGCAGGTGGTTTGAGTTAATTAGCTGATTAGAGTGTGGCACCAGGGGCCATCAATTTTGAACCTTTTCACAATATTCTAATTTTCTGATATGATGAATTTGAGATTTTCATTTGTTGTCATTTCTAATCATCAAAATTAAACAAAATAAACATCTGAAATATATGAGTTTGTATGTAATGTATGAATATAATATACAAGTTTCACTTTTTAAATGGAATTACTGAAATCAATCTACTTTTTCATGATATTCTAATTTTATGACCAGCACCTGTAAGATGGCTGAAGTCACCGAATAATGAATGTTAGCATGCTTACTCTCTTTTTCCGATAGCTCAAAGTGGTGACTTCGAAATGAAAAAATGTCTTAGACTTTTTTTTTGTTTAAAGTTGCCACGTTAGTCATGAAACTGTATGAGTGGTTGAGCAGCAGACTTGGTAGAAGTTGTCAAATGTTTTGGACAAAACAGGCGGTAGATGCAATCTCATTGCAGAAGGATCTATTAAATAAAACCTAAAGAACTTGGGAGACTTTAGACTTTACCTCTGTCGTCCAATCTGGGGAACAACACAGAACTAGAGTTGATAGATGCATCTGGCCTTTGATTGGTATTTGTAGAGGATTTGGAAAGTTTTCAAGGTTTTTAAATTTTTTCTTACAGTTGAGACATCATTTCATAAAAAAAAACAGGCTTTTCAACTTAAATCATAATTTCAACAAATAAATAACTGACCAAACACAAACTCCCCCACTTTGGAAGTTTTGTTCATTCACTTCACAACCTGTGCTGTTCAGTGCACTTCCAGTTAATCCCGTGCAAATTAAAGAGGAAAGGTTTCTCTACTGTATAATTATACAAGTTTACAAATAGTATTTTAGCTTTACCCTGCACAGCTTCCCTCACAGGCACATCTGTCTGTGTGCAGTGAGAAGGAGTCCAATAACAACGTAAGACAGGAAGCAGCATCATCCAGTATTGTCTCTCTCTGCCCTGTATTAAAGAGAGGATAACTTGGGCCATTTATTGAAGGAATTTGGGGAACAACCTCCTTCCCTCATTCTCAGGGCATTGAAGATGGGTCGAGGCTGGGTCTTCCAACATGACATGTCCTGGTGTGGTCTCCAGACCGAAACCCAATAGAGAACCTTTGGAGGGAGCTCAAACTCCTTGTTTCTCAGCTACAGCCCAGAAACCTGACTGATCTAGAGAAGATCTGTGTGGAGGAGTGGGCCAAAATCCCTCCTGCAGTGTGTGCAAACCTGGTGAAAAACTACAGGAAACATTTGACCTCTGTAATTACAAACTAAGGCTACTGTAAGCAAATATTAACATTGATTTTCTCAGGTGATGAGCTACTTATTTGCAGCTGTATCATACAAATAAATAGTTAAAAATCATACATTGTGATCTTTTGACTTTTTTTTGTGTTATGTCTCTCAAAGTGGACATGCACCTACAATCACAAATGACCCCTCAATGACTTACATGTGGGAAAACTTGCAAAATATCAGGTTGTTCAAATATTTATTTTCCTCACTGTGAAAGCATCAGTGCTGGACTACTAAGGTGTCAGTCTGCTCAAAAATGTTTTAGTCATAAATGGTCAAATAAAAAAGCTATTATAAAGATTTTTCTTACGTAAAAACATACAATATGTCTCTATAAGCTCTGTGGTTGCAATGTCAGTTTGTGGATTTTTTGGGGGGGGGGGGGTTAAAGAATTTAGTTGTTTAGATAAGGCCTTAGTAAATGTTTGTAGATGCGCTTTTAGTGCTTTTTTGGTCTAAAAATTTTTTCCAGTGAATCTGTTAAGTAGCGCTGTGATTGGTTGGACTTTCTAAATCCCAGCTGTTTCCTCTGTTTCAGTGCAGAACAGTCATGCAAGCTCAGGAGGTTCTTAGACAGCTGCGGATTCCAGAGCTAGATGACTTCCGACAGTATGTCCGGGGCTTCCCCACAAATGCCCTTATGGGTATGGGAGCCTTTGCTGCCATCACCACCTACTGGTTTGCCTCCCGGCCGAAAGCCCTGAAACCGCCCTGTGATCTCGGACTGCAGTCATTGGAAATACCGGTGAGGTCCCACTTTTTTTCTCATGACTAAACACCTGTTCTTTCTTCTTACTGTCTGAGTAAGAAAAATGTCCTGGAACAGTCTAACTGCCCCCGAACTACAAGAGAAAACCCCCCAAAAAACTAAGCAGTTGACCTCATGCTGCAGGAAGAAGGATTTGTTTGTTTTCCAGCTGCTGTGGAGCAAAACTATAGATCCAATAAAAAGACCATGTTTTTTCTTTTTGTTTTTTTTTGTGCAAATACTGATCACTAGTGTTCTTTGAAGTCAGACCTGCCAACTTAAAGTTTATTTAAATAACTATAGCCAAGTAGTAGCTTTTTATTCACATTTAAACTGTGCTGGCACTGCAAAACAGTTGCCATTTATCGTTTATAACGTATATTTCCATGCACTGAAATTACTGTTGTTGTTGACTGGAACATTTGAGCTGCAGCACTGTTAGGCTACGTTCCCACTGCAGGGCTTTATGCTCAATTCCGATTTTTTTTTTAAATTCGTTTTTTGTTTTTTTCCATTGCCGTTAAAATTTCCAAATATATGTCACTTGTATGGGATCTCCTGTGTGACCTGCATTCATACAACCCAAGTGTCCCGCATGCACAGTAGAGGACGCAATGACGTCACAAGCAAGCAGGCTCTGTGTTTGCGGAAGTAAACATGGATGGTAGTGCTGGAGCGCATCTATCGATCTTTGCCAACCTTAAAAACTCAATATTTTTTATCATATGTCATGGTTGTTGTTTTTCTTGCCGCTTCTACTTAGCAAGACGCAGAATAAGGACCTTTGTTGGGTATTAATGTTGTACAGGACGGATGAATGTGACCAGGCCGTTCAGACACAGGTCGCATTTGAAAAGATCAGATTCGTATCGGATTAGCCAAGTGGCATTGGTAAAAATTGGATCTGTGTGGTTCAGACTATCATGAAAAGATCAGATACAGGTCGCATATGGGGGGAAAAAAATCAGATTTAGGTCACTTCAGGCTGCAGTGTGAACGTAGCCTTAGACACCGATATCCAGACTCATTAAAAGTGATATCAATCATAGCAGATTAATGAGTTTATACTCTTGGTAAGTCCTGGGAGTCAAGTGGAGGAGTCATTATGTAACATGTCTGTGAATGTTGGTTTGTCCACAGGGGGGAGAGCGTGCCAGGAGGTCAGTACTAAATGAGAGCGACAGTGAGTTTGTCACACATTACTACAGTGATGCACAAACAATATACCAGGTGTTCCAGCGAGGACTCAGAGTGTCAAGTGAGTATATGTGCTAGAGGTTGATCAGAAAACACCTAAAGGCACCAAAGCGAGTAACAGATCCTCCCTGTTTTCCATGGTAGATAATGGACCTTGCCTTGGGTCAAGGAAACCAAACCAGCCTTATGAGTGGCAGTCATATCAAGAGGTAAACTGTAGAGCACTGCCATGAGTTAACCGCTGTCTATTGCAAAATTATTCTTTTTTTTTTTTTGAGAAATGCCCTGTTTTTTTCCAGGTGGCGGATAGAGCAGAGAACATTGGCTCCGCCCTTCTTCACAGAGGGCACTTCCACACGGGCGACAAGTTTGTCGGCATCTTTTCACAAAACAGACCTGAAGTAAATCAAATGCTTTTCATTTTTAATGTTAAAAAGCCATTGTTGTGTGAGTTGTATCTTTATATTGCATCTAGTAAAGGTACAGAGTAAATTCTCAGATTTAGAGCTACCTAGCTAAATTTGGCCACTATCTAAATATTTAGAAATATATTGATATATATTTAGATGTGAAAGATACATATTTAATCTTTAATGATGGGTAAAGCTGTTTCCTTTTTTGTTGGATTGGCGCCCAGTGCGCATATACAACTTTCTCTAAAAGTCTTACATGTGCAGTAGCACCTCTGCAATACAAAGGTATAGGAGAGCTGTGCCATGGGGACAGGAACTGTCATCACAGTTGTAGTGCAGGTGACTGACAGGTTGAGTTGTGGAAGTGAAGTCGCTTAAAGCAAACTTACTAAGAGAAGCTGGAGGTGAAAGCATTTGGACCTGGTCAGCCAAACATCAAAATTAATCAGCAGTCCAAAGACAGATGGAGATGGTTCTCTCTGTCATTTCTAGGACCTGGGTTAGCTTCAAGGCTTGGCTAACGGCATGCAGCAAGGCTACAGATTTATTCTGCTTTCCTGCCTTCTTTTTCAAATGTCAGGATCTGACACAGCATGGATAATGTTTTAGAAAAGGCAAAGAAGCATGAACGATCTGGGATTCACAATGAATATAATATGATATAGTGTACTATTTGTAGGTGTTTGTTAATTTGCATAATTAATCTTAAACACAATATCAGAAAATAGTTTTTATATATTAAAAAATATAAATCTGACTAATAGCTTCTCCATTATTAAACTGGTACATTATTTTTTTAGGTTTGTGACACCATATTGGACCATGCAAAACAAAGATTTGCCTTCACAAAGCCTTAGAAGGGCAACATATATGTACAAAAAGTGAACCTGTACATAAAATAATGTTTTGCTTTTATAAAGTGTTTTTATAATGTTTTTCGTTGTTAGCGTTAATATAAATATACTGGTGTGATAACTTAGTATATGTTTGATTGGTTTTTGGTATACGTTTATTTTGAATTTATACTGGAGTTAGCAGCTAGTGGAGTTTTCTCCCACTGGAGAAAACTCCACTAGCTGCACCTGTCTACCCGTGAAATGGGGGTGTTTTATTTAGATGAAGCGTATCACTGCCTAATGGCTAACATTGGGGCAATAGTAGCTACTGTGTGTCAGAAACCCTCGACAACACAGATGTGATCATGTCATCAGAGGTGGATTGAAGTCTCCACAAGCTGACATGTACTGTGACAAAAATCCAGTGTTTACCACAGCTTTACCCCTTGCTCACACTGGCTCCGGTGCGGTTACCGAGCCGACGGAGACCGCAACTCCCGCACACCCCCTCTCACACCGCCCTTTTGACTACGGTGCGGTGCGGCTCTGTGGCTCCGGCAACAGGTCCGGAGATTTAACTCGCGAGAACAGAAGTTCACTTGAGTTCACGTAACTTCACGCGATAACACGGCCCAAATAATGATATTTGCGAGAGCTTGTTGCGGAGGGCTCCGGCACGCCGCAAGGATAGCTTTCTTGCTGAATTTTCTGCAGCGCCGGAGTGTCTCGGTAACCGCAGCCGGACAGCTCAGCAGCCGGTCGGTGAGAGAGGTTTACGTCTTTTTAATGACTTGGAATCACTGCGGCGCCGCACCCACCAAACCGCAACGGTAACACCGGAGTTGGTGTGAGCTGGGGGTGAAAATCCACTAAACACATGTAAGCCTATTAGGGCATCTACAACTTCTGATTTTGCCAAGTCGACTATTTGACAGTGAAAGTGGAGTCTATGTGTTGTTCTAAAAAAACATGTCATTAAGTCGAGGGTTGCAAGGTGGGGTGTGTCTGAGAATTACTTACAATAATTCTTGCTGCTGTGTTGTTCTGAGTTATATCAGGTTGGTCCAATCCAGCTTTTATTGCTAACTGTAGTGTGTGCTCTACTAGGCCCATAGAATAAGCTTATAAGAGACAAGGGGAAGTGTTGGCCTTGTGGTTAGAGCAGTGCGCTTGCACTTTGAGAAGGTTGCAAGTACAAGTATACAAGTTCTATCCCCACAGACTCCACTCTGGGTCCCTGAGTGAGATCTTTAACCCCGCACTGCTCCCCGGGCGCCGCACAATGGCAGCCCACTACTCCCCAAGAGGATGGGTTAAATGCAGAGTCAAATTACTTCAATATGAAATCAATAAAGTTATTTTTAGGGGGGAGTGGCGGCCTAGTGGTTAGGGCATAGAGCTTGGAATCCTGAGGTTCTGAGATTGAGCCCCAGTCCAACAGACAGCAACTCTGGGTCTCTGAGCAAGACCCTTAACCCAACACTGATCCCCGGTCGCCCCACATGGCAATGGCAGCCCACTACCAAGGGGATGGGTTAAATGCAGAGATACATTTCTCCAGTGTGAGATCAGTAAAGTTCAGTTATTATTATTATAGGTTTTCAAGCCCCACGGGGGACTGCTCAGCCTAGTTAAGTAGACTAGTTGACTTTTTAGTTAAAACCTACCAATTTGTACCAGTAATATTGATATATGTTTGCAGGATCTACGGTTATGCTTTCTATGGTTCCAAGCAACACTGTCTGATTAAACCGAACAGAAACACTTAGCTTTATGCTAATTTAGGCAGTACAGTTCACTTTCTTGTCAAAGAGAAACATGGTAACTTTTAATGTCCCTTTGAAAATCTTCATTCGCTCCTTCCACCTGGAGAAGCCTCGTTTTTTTGATGTCTCCATTTTGTTTGTCTTTCACTGCTGCCTATTCATGGTCCTGCATTGTGCTGCTATAGTGCGGACCTTCAGCTGTTGGGTTAGCATCTCCAAATGATCTTCACCTCCAGAAATGGGAAATGCATTATTATTCTGTGTATTAATGCTACTTTATCCTTCTCCAGCATATGCACACAGCCTTTCATGGCACTTTGGAAATGTTATATTATATTTAAATTGATATAGAATTCTTCACTTTTTCTGATTGTTAGGGGAAGTAATAAACCTGCCTACATAGGTAAATGCAGTCTTTGATTTCAGGCAGTAAAAAAGAGAATAAGACAATTTTCTCACTTTTAGCCCCGATCTACAACCGTGCTGGTTGAAATCTGGAGAATACCAACTCAGATTTTAAACTTTAAAATTTTTATTATATTTGCAGCTTTTATGAATGCAGCTTTTATGAATGTTAAATGTTTTTTTTAATATATGATATATCTCTCCATTCAACTGTTTACAAAATGTGTATGTTTTCTTCTTTACATGATTTATTTTCCTCCTTTTATCAATATATTATAAATCAATCAAACCCATTTGGGTTGTTTTGGGTTTAGTGGACGATTTCAGAGCTGGCCTGTTACACATACAACTTGGTGGTCGTCCCTCTATACGACACGCTCGGCAAGGAGGCCATCGGCTACATCATCGACAAAGGTACGACCCAGTTCCTCTGTGACTCATAAATCAGGGACCGAGCAAGTGAACCGTTTCCTACGCCTCTGTTTCAGCCACCATCTCAACAGTGATATGTGACGTACCTGAGAAGGCTCAGATGATTCTGGACTGCATCAGCGGGCAGGGGAAGTCAGTGAAAACCATCGTTCTAATGGAAGCTTTTGACAAGGATCTGGTGAGCCGAGGAACAGAAAGCGGGGTGGAGATCCTCAGTCTGAAGGAGTTCGAGGTGAGGATTTTTCTTTTTTCTGTCGCAATTTAATGTTTTCTCTTCAAAAGCTAAAATGGATTTTTTTTTCTTTAGGCCATTGGCAAAGCTAATCGTCAGAAACCAACAGTGAGTAGAAACAGAATGAATTTTTTCTCCTCTTTGACATGTTAGGTTTTGTTGTTGCTGCTGTTGAACTATTTTAAGTGTTGCTTTCCTTTATATATATATTATATATATATATATATATATATATATATAAATTATTGTTGTTTCATTGTCATGTCTATGATATCCAATATCCCAAAACAAAAAGCACAAATCATCTGACCTGATTAACATGACTATTAGGGTTGGGAATTGAAAAGATTTTCACGATTCCGATTCCCTTTTCGATTCTATGAAACGATTCGATTCTTTATCGATTATTTTTTCGATTCCAATTTGGGGGAAAAAGGAGAACAAACAGTTTGATTATCAGCATCAACTTTGTTTACTTAACTATTGCACAATCTTACAAACTCAACAAGATCAAGATGTCCACAGGAAATGTGAAACTGGAGTAACATCTGTGTTTAAATGAAAAATGAATACAAGAACAAACTTAATAACCAACAATGTCTAATAACAAATGATGGGATAATAACCTATTTTAAATAACAAAAAATACTAATTATAAAACAGTAGTAGGGAAAATTAACAGTTCTTTTGCAGAAAGATGAGCATATCTGCTTTTTCTGGAAGGATACGGGATCTTTCAGCGCTTAAGGTGTCTCCAGCTGTGGAGAACACCCTCTCAGATGGGGTGGAGGAAGCCTGCACACATAGGTTATTTTTTAGCCAGTCCAGATAGCAAGGGCAGCGTATCTTGCTTGTTTGTTGTTTGCTTTCCTTTTTTGCCTAGTCACGTCGTACTTGCTTACTGAACGCTGTGTGCGTAACTTGCGTAAAAAACGTGACGTAAGCCGTGCTCCCCAGAGCCCGCGCTCTAGGCTCTGGTGCTGCGGGAATCGAAAAAGAATCATTCAGCGAGCTGCCAAACGATGCCATGGAATCGGAAAATACGGAACCGTTTCTGAACAGGAACCGGTTTTCGATTCCCATCCCTAATGACTATGCTTGGTTTTATTATAAAAACTCTATATGTGTAAATCTAATGAAAACTAACATTATTGTAAATCTCGGATCTAATAAATTGAAAATACCTGTGAATTAATTACAGCCTCCCAAATCAGATGATCTGGCAATCATCTGCTTTACATCTGGAACCACAGGTATGCTCAAAGACCAGTTTGCTTCAGTTAAAAATAATGGTTATTTTAGAATTACTATTTGTGATCCGTATGTTTATCTAAGCTGTGATGTTTTCAATGCAGGGTTTCCGAAAGGGGCAATGCTCACTCATGGAAATGTCGTCTCCAACACAGCAGCATTCATTAAAGTAACGGAGGTAAGGAAACTCACCAGCAAAGGCCTCACTATGATAAATTATAATGTGGAAATAGGTAACTTAGAGAAAATTTCCAGTAAGAAAGATGATTTTTAAGATTTGTCACAATGCAGTTCCTTTTAAACATGTATCCCTCAAACCAACATAAGATAGTGAACACCTGTACAGTGAAATTAAAGTTATACGTGATTTTTTAATTTATACAGAAATCTGAATTTTCCCATCCAATTCTATTCTTCCCTTTTGATATGATTCCCCTCCTAAAAATGAACTGCAACCAACCTCCTTCAGAAAGCCTCAGAGATAACAGTTGAGGGGACAAATGATAAAAAAGGACGTTTAAATCAGAGTTAGGTCATAGATCAGAATCCAAGATCAAAGACATTTAGGTTACCTTAAATCTAAATGTCTGCCCAATGAACATGAACCAATAAGGTGGCTTAGAGACTCTGGTAACTTTAGAGGAGCTGCAGAGATCCACTCCTCTGATTAAGGATTTTATAACTCTTACCTTTGTGTAATTGTGAAAAGAAGTTAGCTATTGTTAAAAGTCAGTCATAAGAGGCTCATTTTACTGTTCGATGCTAAGTTGGGACACCATCCAACCCTGGAAGAGGATCCTGTAAGCTTGTCGGAGCCAGATTGAACTTTAGGCCAACGAACAAAGTGATGTGACATCATACAGCATCATCACCTGAGTGGAACACGGTGGAGGCAGCATCATGATCTAGGAAGCAAACCTACTAGAGAATTCAAAATATAAGACAGGCTGTTATGTTGCAACAAGTTGTTGCAACATAACAGCCCTAAAAGTACCTCCAGCTACATTATAATGTTTGAAATGTTTAGTGTATACAGGTGCTGGTCATAAAATTAGAATATCATGAAAAAGTAGATTGATTTCAGTAATTCCATTTAAAAAGTGAAACTTGTATATTATATTCATACATTACATACAAACTCATATATTTCAGATGTTTATTTTGTTTAATTTTGATGATTACAAATGACAACAAATGAAAATCTCAAATTCATCATATCAGAAAATTAGAATATTACTGAAGACCAATAAAAACAAAGGATTTATAGAAATGTTGGCCAACTGAAAAGTATGAACATGAAAAGTATGAGCATGTACAGCACTCAGTATTTAGTTGGGCCTCCTTTGGCCTGTATTACTGCAGCAATGCGGCGTGGCATGGAGTCGATCAGTCTGTGGCACTGCTCAGGTGTTATGATAGCCCAGGTTGCTCTAATAGTGGCTTTTAGCTCTTCTGAATTGTTGGGTCTGGTGTATTGCATCTTCTTCTTCACAATACCCCATAGATTTTCTATGGGGTTAAGGTCAGGAGAGTTTGCTGGCCAATTAAGAACAGGGATACCATGGTCCTTCAACCAGGTACTGGTAGCTTTGGCACTGTGTGCAGGTGCCAAGTCCTGTTGGAAAATGAAATCTGCATCTCCAAAAAGTTGGTCAGCTGCAGGAAGCATGAAGTGCTCTAAAACTTCCTGGTATGTGGCTGCGTTGACCCTGGACCTCAGAAAACACAATGGACCAACACCAGCAGATGACATGGCACCCCAAACCATCACTGACTGTGGAAACTTTACACTGGACTTCAAGCAACGTGGATGAAGTGCCTCTCTTCTTTTCCTCCAGACTCTGGGACCTTGATTTCCAAAGGAAATGCAAAATTTACTTTCATCAGAGAACATGACTTTGGACCACTCACCAGCAGTCCAGTCCTGTTTCTCTTTAGCCCAGGCAAGACGCTTCTGACGCTGTCTGTGGTTCAAGAGTGGCTTGACACAAGGAATGCGACAGCAGAAACCCATGTCTTTCATACGTCTGTGTGTGGTGGTTCTTGAAGCACTCACTCCAGCTGCAGTCCACTCTTTGTGAATCTCCCCCACATTTTTGAATGGGTTTTGTTTCACAATCCTCTCCAGGGTGCGGTTATCTCTCTTGCTTGTACACTTTTTTCGACCACATCTTTTCCTTCCCTTCGCCTCTCTATTAATGTGCTTGGACACTGAGCTCTGTGAACAGCCAGCCTCTTTAGCGATGACCTTTTGTGTCTTGCCCTCCTTGTGCAAGGTGTCGATGGTCGTCTTTTGGACAACTGTCAAGTCAGCAGTCTTCCCCATGATTGTGTAGCCTATAGAACTAGACTGAAAGACCATTTAAAGGCTTTTGCAGGTGGTTTGAGTTAATTAGCTGATTAGAGTGTGGCACCAGGGGCCATCAATTTTGAACCTTTTCACAATATTCTAATTTTCTGATATGATGAATTTGAGATTTTCATTTGTTGTCATTTGTAATCATCAAAATTAAACAAAATAAACATCTGAAATATATGAGTTTGTATGTAATGTATGAATATAATATACAAGTTTCACTTTTTAAATGGAATTACTGAAATCAATCTACTTTTTCATGATATTCTAATTTTATGACCAGCACCTGTATATGTACCACGATGACAGTTCCTCTGATTTAAGAGTTTTCTTTTCTTTTTTTCTTTTTTTAAAGAAACAAAAACATTTCATTCCAGTACAGTTATTATATATTTTATTTTGTCACAAAAAAGCTAAAAACAAAAACACATTGAAATTAAAGGTTGCATTGGACATTATTATAAAAGTGTTCATTCTTTAGCAAGGCATTGTTCATGTGTAGATGTGTAGTTAGACGTTGTCTGTCTGTCTTTTTTCTTCCCTTCCTTTTTCTGTGACCGGCTGTCCAGGGATCACTAAAGCCCAGTTCCAAAGATGTGCTCATCTCCTTCCTCCCTTTGGCACACATGTTTGAGAGGGTGGTGGAGGTACAGTAGCTGAGTGATCTAACCTGCACACATGCATGTGTTTTCTTCTGCAGATACACTGCATGCTGAGCGTCCATGACATTCATGTATCCTATCTCCCCCTAGCTCACATGTTTGAACGGGTTGTGCAGGTATGTTGTGGATCTAATGTACTATGAATATTCTCTGCTTTAACAGATAAATTGCATGTGGCAAATTTTTATTTTATGTATTTATTTAGTTGCGCATGCAATACTTGGGCATGTTGCAAATGATAGACAAAGATTGCCATTGCCAATATAAAGAGGTGCAGACGGCATGTAATACTGACAGTTGAGAGTTGCCTTAAAAGAAAAGCAACCTTTTAAGCCATATATGATCATACTAAATATTATAGTGTTCTTCACATAAGTAGCCTATCTCAAAGTTCTAAGAACAAAAGTAAAAAAAAAAAGGTATTGAAGACAATGACAAGAGTAAAATTAACATGTAAAATATTTATTGGGGGGGACCCAATTTGATTTTCAACTTGTGTTTTGACTTGGTCTGCAATTACTTCATCACAATTAATTGTATTTTGATTGAAAACATATAATCGAAACAACCTTCTCAGTTGAAAAGTCCTCAGAATGAGCAACTAAAATATTTATTTATAATCCATTATTGAGGTTATTTTACCATCAAACTGGTTAAAAGTTATAAGCTCCTAGCTTTTTTAAGAAAATACCCTGATATTGTTTAAAACTTCTTTGAAAAAATACTTCTGTTTTTGTGTGTGAATTGAACAGTGCATGGTCATTAATTATAGCACAATTCCTTCCATTCGATATGGTCAAAAACACACACACACACATATATATATGTATATATATAAATATATATATATATATATATATTGTATATATTCCTATGTATATATATATATACATAGGAATAAGACAACACTGCTTTTAATAGTTGAACTTTTGCTTTAAACAGAAGTTAAAATTTCATCTCTAATATTGACAAAATTATTACAGTGGAGCTTAAAATTTGCATTTCAACATGCAACATTTAGTGCAACACAACATGTAATCACTGAGGCTACTACGTTCTGCCCAGCCTACCTTCCTAACCTGTTCTGTGCATCAGTACTTGTTGAGCTCGTCACTTCCCCAGAAGTTTATCTTGCAGTGTCTCCTCTGAATGTGTGCATGAACAAGGAATCTGACCTTTGATTCAGCTGCTCACAGCATACCGACATCAGGTATAAATATATAGCCTTGAGAGAAAATAAGATAAATGATAAAAGAAACGGAACACATGTAGAAAGCTGATTTTCTTATTTAGTACGTCTTTGAAGGTTATATCCTTATCGTCAATAATAAACAAAAAAAAGAAGTGTCAAAAGCAAACATGTAGCTACAGACTTTTTTTCCCCCAATGTATAAGATGAATAGTCACAGTACAAACTCTTGACCTTGCGCTGCCTGTCTTAAACAGCTGATATGTCCGTGTTAAGTGGGTTTTGTATTATTTGAAATGTCTTAAACACAAGCAGTCTGTTTCACCCATTGACTTCTTAAGTGGTTATTGTAAAACTTAAGGATCTGTGTCAGTACAAGTGTAAATTAAAGTCTTATTGACAGGAGGGGATCGGCAAAATAGAAATAAGTCGTGCTTTAAGTTTATCCCACTGATGACAGGACAAGAGATGAAATTTATTTGAAGATGGTGCCCTCTAGTGGGGAAAGAAAGTACTGTTTTGATTTAAATCAGGAATCTGTGTTTTTCTTCCTCAGGGTGTGATCCTTATCCACGGAGCACGGATAGGCTACTTCCAAGGGGACATCCGACTCCTTATGGATGATCTGAAAACTCTGCAGCCAACGGTCTTCCCCGTCGTTCCCCGTCTCCTCAACCGTATGTTTGACAAGGTTAGATAACGCATTCTGTTTCTGCTATTTACTCTGCCTCTCACCTTCCTGTCTCTCTCTTTATCTAGGGTGCTTTTTTTATTATTATATTTGCCTTGGTGTGCAGAAGTTGAGATGATTGTTTCTCTGTAGGTTTTCAGCCAGGCCAACACACCTCTGAGAAGATGGCTGCTGGATTTTGCGTTTAGAAGGAAGGAAGCAGAGCTGAAAAATGGAGTGATGAGAAAGGACAGCATGTGGGACAAACTCATCTTCAAAAAAGTACAGGTAAGGAATTTACACATTTTGTTCCTCATAGTTCACAAAAAGTGTAGTAAAAAGTTATACCGTACTTAATGTTTGCTACAATTTTGTCTGCACAAACCTCCCCACCCCATGTGGGGTTAAAAACTTAGGATCCTCTCCATCAATCTGGCATACAGATATTGAAAAACCCTGTAGACCCTTGGTTTACAGTATCTCTCTTTATCAAAAAAAATAAAGTCCACATAACTTTAAAACATTACCTTTCAGTTTGTATTTTATTTTTGCAGCTGAGCCTGGGCGGTCGGGTGAGACTGGTGATCACAGGAGCAGCCCCCGTATCTCCAACCATTCTGACTTTCCTAAGAGCTGCTCTCGGTTGTCAGGTCAGTCAAATTTACCCTTATCTCTTTTGCCTTAGCCTGGATAGAAATGTATTTATCCTTCTTATTAGAAAGTCAAATGTGTTTTGTTGGAAATGCAGTCGAGGGATCTAATTGATTATAGATAGAGTACTCTACACTCTGATCATATCTCTAAACAAAGCATAGTGTTGGTAGCATCATGCTAAGAGGCTCTTAGTAGTATATCTTTTATATTTCACTGAATTATGTGGAACAAAGTGTGCATTGTCGGCAGATATTGGATCCTCATAATGATTTATTTGTCTGAGCTTCTTAATTAATTAAAAAACTTGAAAATAAAGGGAAAAAATGAATAAGCTGAAGGTATGACAAATAAATGTGTTTCAATAAGTTTTCTTTTTATTCTAATTCAGACACTTAATGTTGGTTTTATCAGCAATACTACCTTAAATCACTATTTATTAAAGTGAATTTAACTGCGTTTCTCCCAGTTCTATGAAGGCTACGGTCAGACGGAATGCACAGCTGGTTGCACCATGTCCATGCCTGGCGACTGGTCAGCAGGTAAAGGTTTCAGGCTTCATGAGGTGTTGCTTAAGCTTTTTAACAAGAGTAATTTTTTTATGTTTATGATGAATGAACCCGCGGAAGGCCCCAGGTCCCGACAACATACCTGGGCGGGTGCTCAAGGAGTGTGCAGGTCAGCTAGCTGGTGTCCTCACGGACATTTTTAACACCTCGCTGGAGCAAGCCACAGTGCCAGCATGCTTCAAGTCTGCCTCCATCATCCCAGTGCCAAAGAAACCTCAAGTCACCTGCTACAACGACTACCGGCCCGTCGCACTGACTCCCATCATGATGAAGTGCTTTGAAAGGCTGGTAAAGGAACACATCGTCTCCAGTCTCCCCCCAACACTCGACCCGTTCCAGTTTGCCTACCGGCGAAACCGCTCCACTGAGGACGCCATCTCCTCTGCTCTTCACCTGAGCCTGGCCCACCTGGAGGAGAAGAACACCCACGTGCGGATGCTGTTCCTGGACTTCAGTTCAGCGTTTAACACCATCATCCCACAGCACCTGGTGGGAAAGCTGGAACATCTGGGCTTCAACACACCCCTTCGAAACTGGCTGCTGGACTTCCTCACCAACAGACCTCAGTCAGTCCGGGTCGGTCAGAACACCTCTGATGTCATCACCCTCAGCACGGGCTCCCCTCAGGGCTGCGTCCTGAGCCCCCTGCTGTTCACCCTGATGACATATGACTGCGTCCCCAGGTTCACCACCAATCACATCGTGAAGTTTGCGGACGACACCACGGTGGTGGGCCTCATCAGGGACGACAACGACCGGGACTACAGAGAGGAGGTGGAGCAGCTGGTGGACTGGTGCAGTGAAAACAGTCTGATCCTGAACGTGGAGAAGACGAAGGAGATCATCGTCGACTTCAGGAAAAACCGCCCCCACCATGCTCCACTGCTCATCAACAGCTCAGCTGTGGAGGTGGTCAGCAGCACAAAGTTCCTGGGGGTGCACATCACGGACAACCTCACCTGGACTGTAAACACTTCATCTCTAGTGAAGAGGGCACAGAAGCGCTTGTACTTTCTGCGGAGGATGAGGAGAGCCCGCCTGCCCCCGCCCATCCTCACAACCTTCTACAGAAGCACCATAGAGAGCGTTCTGACCAGCTGTCTCTCTCTGTGGTGTGGAGGCTGCAGAGCTTCTGACTGGAAGAATGTGAGGAGGGTGGTGAGGACAGCGGAAGGAATCATTGGGGCTCCTCTTCCCTCCATTAAGGACATTTCATCACAGCGCTGTGTGTCCCGAGCCCGTAATATCATCAAAGACCCCTCACACCCCCACCATGGACTGTTCTCCCTGCTGCCCTCTGGAAAGAGGTTCCGCAGCATCCGCTGCAGATCCACCAGGTTGTGCAACAGCTTCTTCCCCACTGCCATCAGACTGTTGAACCTTTGATCCACAATCCGAACTCTGCACCTATTGCACATTATCGGGCATCAAATGCTGCTGAACTTTTAACTTTTAGCCCTTTAAATTGTTCATCTCATTGTATTTTTCAATAACGCATTTTTTGCACAAATGCCATTTTGCACTGAACCACTGCAACTTGCACACTGTCTCTTATCCTCTGCACTGTTCACACTTTGACCACTGCTGCACTTTTTGTATTTTTCTATAACTCGTGCCATTGTGAAATATCAATGCAACGCTCATAAGCTGTATGTAACGCAATTTCGTTCTGTATGCACCCTGTGCATACAAAATGACAAATAAAGAAGTCTAAAAATGAAGCGTCTAAGAACAATGGTGCTAAAATAAAAAACAGAAAGTAAACATAAATACTGTGTCATCAGGTCACGTCGGGCCTCCTCTGCCATGCAATGCAGTAAAACTGGTGGATGTGGCAGAAATGAACTACCTAGCAGCCAACGGAGAAGGAGAGGTGAGAATGCAAATTTATTTTTCTTAGCTGTTAGGGCATCATCCTGTGTACTAATGTTTTAGTTTGTGTTATATTTTTGAATGTAAGATTGCAGCTTGCAGATCAAAACATTTAATGTCTGTACCCATGAACTTCATTTACATCTGCAGATTGTTATTTTTTCCTTTAGTAGAGTAAGACATACATAATTAATTTGTGCCAACTTTGTTTTTATTAAACATAAGCGTAGCAACCATTGATCATGAGGGCTCACTCACAGTGTTGTATTCCAGTGGTTCCCAACCTTTTTTGACTCATGTAACCCCTTGGCCATTTTATCATACCATGAGTATCTCCTTGGAAAGTGCAGCTGAATATAAAATGTAAAACATTAATTTAATCTCCTTTAGTTGAACTTTTATTGCTCAGTTATTTCAATATTTTCAATTAGAATAAAATAATAACTTAAATCTGTTGACTGGAAAGTGAATAAGTACTAAAATATATACAAAATAAGATTCATTTACAAATATACTTTTTTTAACAAAAAATGAAGCTCCTCTGAATGAGTCACTTATAGACAAATATTAACTTCATAAATCAGGGGGTCATAATTTACTGTGTTAATGAAACAGTCGGCCTTCTCCTGAAACGCCTGCAATGGGACGTTTTAGCCATTTATCCTTGACTGCAGCTGCTTTGGTGCATTCTTCTCTTGTGACTTTTCACTTTGCCCCTGAGAGCAGTAGTGCAGGTGCACAGCACTGATACCCACTCTAGTCTTTCTATGTAAATGTTGATTAGGACATTTTCTTTTTATCTTTTTGGTTGTTAAAATCTTGGTTTATTTTGCATTTGGGTGTGAATTGGTTAAGTTATCTCATTTCCTTACATAAAACTGCCTTTAGCAAATGTGCATGTTACACAGAAAAAAAAGCTTTAGAAAGGACAAAATATTCTAAAATTGTTTGTACTGTAAATGTGATGTTAGTTAAAATCTCTGAAATATTATGTCAATAACAGTAAGAGGGATTATTTTTTTTCCCCAGTTAGGCATTGTTGATCTGTGTTTCATTACAGGTTTGTGTGAAAGGACCAAATGTATTCAAGGGATACTTGAATGACCCTGAGAGAACAGCAGAGGCAATAGACAAGGATGGATGGCTGCACACTGGAGACATTGGGAAATGGCTCCCAGTAAGCAAAACACTGGATAGTAGAACTCTGATTAGAAACTTTCAAGTTTGACGTCATTAAAAGGCCTTCCTATCGATTCCAGAATGGCATTCTGAAGATCGTTGACAGGAAGAAACACATTTTCAAGCTGGCACAAGGAGAGTACATCGCCCCGGAGAAAATAGAGACCGTTTGTAACCGAAGCGATCCAGTGGCTCAGATATTTGTTCATGGCGACAGCTTAAAGGTTAAGTATTATAAAAATAACAATAATCTTGTTTTATAATATTGCAAATGCGTTGCTTCATTTCATTCTCTTCTTGTTTTTTTAGGCATGCTTGGTGGGGATCGTGGTACCAGATCCAGACTTTTTACCAATGTGGGCCAAGAGAAAAGGATTTGAAGGATCCTACCTCGACCTGTGCAGTAACAAGGTTTGATTCTTACAAAAGCAGTGATGTAATTATGGAGCTCTAGATATACGGTCTTAGCTGTTTTTGATTGCTTTATTGAAGGATGTAAAGGCGGCTATTCTGGAGGACATCCTGGTTTTGGGGAAAGAAGCTGGACTAAAGTCGTTTGAACAAGTGAGTAATGATGGAAAAAAAAAAAGGTAAAATATCGTATTATTAATTAGTAATGCATCAACTAATGTCAGCAGTCTCTGCTGACACACAGCCATTGATGAATGACTGAGATTACATAATCCAAACCCTGATCCTAATTGACATTTCTACCTGTTCCATTGTAGGTGAGAGATATTGCATTACATCCTGAGATGTTTACTGTCCAAAACGGTCTGCTGACTCCCACCCTGAAGGCCAAGAGGAACGAACTCCGGAATCACTTCAGAGAGCAGATTGATGAACTTTATGCCAAAATCAAAATGTGAGCTGGAACTGAGAATCCACCACAGCATGGCCTCCCAACAAACCAAATCATTTCTGCAGAAGATTCAAGCTATTTCGTAGGAGGTATTTTAAACAAATTGTACAGGGGCTCAAGAAAAAAAAAATCGCAAAGAGAAAAATTGAGCTTCTCATAATTTCAATGTCATTTGATCTCTTTATGATCAGAACATTCAGGCTCCAGTATTTTTATAGAAACTTTGATTGCAGAAATAATATTCGAACTATAACAAAAAAACCTCTATTACATCAACTCAACTATTTATACGCCGAGCTATTTATAAGTTGGTATTTAATATCATCAAGTCTGTAAATAGTTTACTGAGACTCTAGCTATAATCTACTGCATTCCTGTCTGTCTTGTTGAAGAGCTCTTTAAAATGTAAAAAGCGAGGTTTAGTCAAGTGTTTGGGTTCAGGTGCCTTTGCTTTGTGTTTTTGTAAAGTGCATGTAAAATGTTTAATATATCTGTAGAGTAAAAGCAAAGACTTCTTTGAAGAAGACGTGGCTGACGTTTGTAGCTCTAAGTTGATGCAGTGAACAAACAAAACCCAGAGAAAAAAGGCTTTGGTTTTAAACATCACCAGGAATACTAATTAGACCCATTAATCACAGATTTCTAGTTTCAGCCTTGACCAGCAGATGTATGTTATTAGAAGCTACAACATAAGAAGAGTAATGAAAATGAAACTTTTTTTTAGAAGCTGAAGTGATTTTACCCTGAAAAACAAAGCTTTAATTGAATTTTTTTAATGAAAAACAAGATAATTTCTAAGTTTAAATGCTCCTCCTTAGTGTGTTCCAGTACTGATGAGCACAGGGACAATAAAAACCTTGCTGTGTTTACTACAGAATATAACTCCTTACTGCATCTCTGTGGGGATTTTCAAAGAGTTGTTAACATTTCCAAATCCAACAATTTCCTTTAAAAAAAGCTTAAAACTGAACATTTCTGCTGTTATATGTTCAGCCTTCCTGTTATCTGCTAGAAATCGTGCTTTCTCAGATGCCTCAACAGGTCAAAGACAGCATTTCCTGTTAATAAGCTTTTTACACCTCCTTTAATCACGATGATGTCAGTTAAACACCCCAATGAGACTAAAACAGGTTTTTTTTTTATTCTAGTCTTTTCTGCTGCATCATTAAAGCATCTAGAACACTGACTGTTGTCTGGTAGCATTTGGATATGATGGGACCTACTGATCTTAAGATCAAGCTTTTGAGTCTCCAGATCATCCTGTAAAGATGATTTCTGGGATTTTTAAGTGTTTAAAGCTACATTTTACAGCATGAAGTGAATTCAGCATGAATTGGATGATGAAACACCAGGTGGTAGCAGGGACCTTTTCGTTTAGACCCATAAGTCACGTGTAAACTATCATCTTTGTAAACCACCCTCTGGAAATCTGTTGTTGGGTTTGAAAACAACTTAGTGTCCCTCCCGGTTCCTGGATGCTTAAAGTTTTTATTTACAGTATAAAGAAACGTAAAACAACTTTAGACGGCACTCTCCATACAAATTTAAGTTCGTCTGACACCAAGTAAGGTACATAAAATGTCACATTCAAAATTACTGTAAAAGTGCATCTCCATTTATTTACAAACCAATTAACTCCAGAAAAGGTTCATTTCAGCAGTTTCACTGATAAATGTTGAGGCGATAGAAATTATAAACTGTTTATGTTAAGGAAGGGATTTATAATGTTTCTGTTATTCATGTGTTTATAAGAAAATATTTAGCTTTGGCTCAAATTTGTAAAAAAAAAAACCTTTGAAAAAAGTGTAAATTGTAATAATGTGCTGCTAATATTGACAAAAAATATAGTTTTCTGGGGGCGTGTTTTTTTTTTTCAAAGTTTGGCAGCGACTGGGTTTAAGGTAAAGATTTCCCAACAGGCAAATACATTTCACAGAGAAAGAGAAGATTCTCTGAAGGAATTCAAATGTCCCTCCCTTTCTTCAAGCTACCTGAAAAATAAAACGGTCTTCAGATTTCAATATCCTCTGCAAAGCTCAGGATGTCAAATGCTCTGTGATGTTAAAGCTCACATTTTTAACACTCTTGTAACAAAAAGGAGGGAAAAAATGTTTTATTTAAAATTCTAAGATATTTGTCAAATAAAATATTTTCTTCCAACATTTTTATTTCCAAGTTTCCTATCAGTTTATTCTATTTTAAAGGCCTTTTGGGGTTTATAGCAGCCTTTATAATGTACAGCTGTGTTGCTTGAGAAGCTTGATTAACAATTATTATTCAGAACCCGTATTTTCACGTTAAATGATTGGTTTATGACACATTTATTAAATAAAGAGAATAAAAAGGGAATATTCTGTACTATTAGTAAAATGTGCCATTTTCTTTTTTTACACCTGCATGTCTTCATCCTGAGTTAATAAAAGGTTTGCTTATAGCTGATTTAAATGGGTTTTTATGAGGACATCAGTTATCGCAGCAGAACACAGTCTCCCTCTAGGAGTCAAAGTCTGCCACACATGTGAGGAGAAGCTGGTCGGAGATCTCTACACTGTTTTCTTCAAAGTCATTCAGGCTCTTCAAATACTCCTGCTCGTCCTGCTCTTTTCCCCACACATCTTCAGGAGTCTCCTCTACCGTACAGACGGAGCCATTTGAGGCCTGGCTGGGCTCGATGTTTCCAGTGTCGTCCATTAAATAGGCCTGATCGTCCTCATCCTGTCAGATGAAAGCAGACATGCTCACTATTTATGGAGGCTGTTCTTGAGTATGAATAACCAGAGATTTTAATTTTTTAATTTTAAGTCATTGACATGAACTAACCAGAGTCAGGATGTAGCTGACGCAGATCTCTTGTGGCAGTGGAAAACCTGCAGGAAAGCACCAGTTTACAACTTCTTTTTTTTTTTTTCTTCCTAAAAATGCTTTTATTTTTGAAATTTTGCAGAGAATAATGTGATTTAAGGTCACCACTTACTGGAGGACCGGAAGATCCTGCAGTCTGGATCATGACACTTCTGGTACCAGACTTCTTCTTTCAGGTCTACAACAATCCTGCAAAGGAGAAGGAGGCGGGGGGAGTCAGAGGAAAAGAAAACTGTAGGGAGCTTTCAGAAGAACTGGAGGCAAAGTGTGGTGCACACATGATGTTGTTGCTCTTATGAAACCTTCCCACGTTCTCACACCAGCGGTATTTGGCAATGTCATAGACAAGAAGCTGCTCTGCAGCAAAGTAGCTCCATCTTCGAATGCCTGCGGAGATCAGGAAGCAATTTGAGCACAAGGCAGGTTCAGATTTTAAAAAATAGCCTGGAAACAAGTCAGTTTATCAGGGTGAAAAAAATCTAAAATATCCTAAATAAAAACATAATCTTTAATGATTTTATTCTAATGACTCTAGGTCATGTTTGTGACATAATCATTGCATTAAGACATTTTTAATCATATACAAGTCCCTAAAAAAATTATTATTATGCATTTTTATTATAAAAACATAGGCCGTGTGACATTGTAATAATGTAATAGTCCTCTACACTTCAACTTACAAGATAATTACACTAATTAAACCAAACAAAGACCAAGCATTGAAATTTAAGAAACAATAAAAGCAAAGCGAGGCCGGAGCATGTTGCCCAATCCTCTCTGCTGCTCCCCTGACCCGGATTAAACGACGAGTACAAGTACACAAAGCAAAACCTGAAATAAAATCTTAATACTATGTCTGACGTACCCTGCGGCAGGAATGAGACATTTTAAAAACTGAATATTCCCTTACTTCCCTGAACCCCATCCTTTCTGACCAAGGTTAACACATAGTTGTCCACTTCTTGGTACGGAGAAGACAGGCAGCCAGACAGTGTTCCTGTAAGGAAAAGACAGGGAGATGTTTGGAATCCAAAGCATTCAAATAGAAAAAAAAAAATTTAAAGTAAAACCAAGGACAATTTGTACAATGAATGAATGTATGTATACACAGCAAAATAAACTGGTATGATCTAGAAAACAAATTTTTTCATTGTTGAGATTACACAAGGAAAAACTGTATTTTAACTTTACTGTTGTAGCAGAATGCATTATTACCAAGCAGATGGCATAATGACTTGAATGGTAGGCAGAAAGGAAATATTGTCACATTTAGAGTTACCTGGATTTGAATCAGATCCCTGCTGGCAGTGAGGCGTTTGGGGTTCAGCCTCTTTTTTTTCTGGGGCGTCCCACGTTAGAATCCTCTGGCCCGTGAAACTGAAAAGAAAGACAGAAAGATATTAGCTAAGAAAAATTTTTCAAAACATTACAAAAAACTGGCACGTACCTAATATTACAGACCAAAGAGGCAAAGAATACACTTTCCTCAACAGACATTCCTTTTGCAGGTTTGGCAGCAAACTGGTTGTCCTGAGCCACAGTGAATGCAGCGTTTCTCCCCACCTTAGACGACTTGTACAGCCGAAAGTTCCTGTTCCTGGTGTACACACCTGTTTGTGTGAATTCAAATCAAAATGTTTGAAACGGGAAAAGTTATTTATCAATAGTGGCCCCCACCAAAAAGAAAAACTGAAATTAAAAGATGTCCTGTCACTCTTTAAAACTGAAAACAAAGTGTGAGAAACTTGACTTTTTTCTTCTTCAATTTTATGCCAACAAACTTTTTTTTGGTCAATAATAAATAACAATGATTAAACACACATTTAGCACAAATTAATATTTTCGTTTTAAAACCATGGACTCACCCAGATCAACAAAAAGACATTTATGACCATCCTTGTTTTTCACCATCAGGAAGCTGAGGTCTCTCTCTTCCTGTTTTCTCCTCTTCATATCTGGACTTTGATCCACCTCAGACACAAGCGCTCTGCGCAAGAATTACACTAACTGATGACAAACCAAAATATATTTCAATAAAAAAAGCCATAAAAAAAGAAAACTGACTGTTTACTGTTGTCCTCCTGTGACACGTCTCTTTCACTTCTGAGTTTGGTGATGATGGGCTGAAGAATAGCATGGATGAATCTACCTAAAAGAAATAAAGGAACATGAGTAAAAATACACGAATATTCAAAAGAAAAAAATAAATATCATGGTTTTCTTGTGGGGCTGAACATACCGACATGGAGGTTGTCTTTAAAAGCCGCGTTTTGTAGCATGAAGATAAGATGGCGACTAAACTTGTTATCCGTGCTGGAGTCCAGGTTCAGGACGTTTTTCACAGAGCATTCAATCCCATAAACCTCCATCAACTTTTCACAGACATACTGTCAACACAACAACAAAGTCCACGTTTGGACACTCAGAGGCCACTTTATTAGGTATATCTGTTAACCTGAGTGTTCCCACAGACAGCAAATCAGACATCTGGCAGTATTTCAAAGATGGGAAATTGAAATTTAAGATATGTTTTTTCTGAATATTTCTGGAACAGCTGATCATGAGTTTAAAGAGAATAGCCTAAACAAAAAAGAGATACTATTCAGTGAGCTGCAGCTGTGTGGACAGAAATGCCACGCTGGTGTCAATTACATCACTGGACCAGGCTGCTGCTGGTGGATGTATAATGGTGTGGAGGGACATTTAGGCCTCTTTGTACCAGTTGATCCCAGTTCAAGTAACACAACAGGACCATCTCTTTATACATACTGAGGATCTGAGCTTTAACACTTCCTTCCAGCAGCATAATGCTTTTAAACCTAATCTTATCTTGAATTAGCGTTTAGTCTAGTCACCTGGTATGAATCCTATGCAGCTCCTTGGAGATGTGGTAAAACAGGTCACTTGTAGCAAGGATGTGCAGGACTTTTTTATGCTATCATATCAATATGAAACAACATTTCGGAGGAATTTTACTGACATGTTGAATGTAAGCCATGTAAGATGGGAGACATTTCAGAAGTTTATAATGAGTTTCTACTGGGGTGAACCGAATAATTTGGCCAAGGGATATCCTTAGGAAGGAAACAACACGGTACTCCTGGTTTATATGTCAAGTAGCAGCATTAAGTCACTTTAGACCAAATATTGCTTCAGTAATTATTTTCCCAGGGATTTTTTATTGTCAATACACTTACACAAGTACAGAGCAATGAAATGAACTCTCTACATTTAACCCATCCCCTTGAAGAGCAGTGGGCTGCCATTGTTTGGCACTCGGGAAGCAGTGTGGCAGTCTGTGGGAGTGGGGCTCGAAAGCAGAACGAAAGGATTTAAAGCTCTATGCCACCACTTCCCATTGGGGAATAAAACTCCAATTTCATGCTTATTCTCTTTTTAAAGCAACTAAATAAGAAAATAATCTAACAAATAACTTTAAGGGTTCTGCAAAAACATATAAAAGCTCCATAGTTAGAAAGACCTTGACAAAAGCTACATGATATAGAAGATACTGACTGTCATGTTTGATTTATGATTAAAAATATCACAAACCTGAATAAGCAGAGAGACCATTGATGTCCCGTCACATCCTTGGTTTGAGGGTTTGTGAAACTCCAAGTCAAAGTAAAGCTTGCACACTGCCCCCTCTGGTATCACCTCATAACAATGCATCAAGGACTGGGGGTAAACCCTAAAAAAATGTAGAGGTAATAAGTAATTAAATGAATTACAAAAACAACAGCAACTGAAGCAAAAACGTGACCTAACCTGTAATAATGCCACAGCTCGCTGTAACTGGTGACCAGAAAGATTCTCTGACCATGTGAAGCCTTTTCTTTTTCAAGGGCAAAAACATGGACGGCCTGTAGACAACATAACGACAGACGTTAGCTGTTTTAGCTTCACACAATGAGAAGAAGCTGCATGTTGCTCATGAAGGCCGTGCCTCTCTACAGCTTTGAGCAAAGCTGATTGCCAGGCTCTGCCGAGGGAAGAGTTTCCAGACAGAGGAGGGCTGGAGGGGCCACAGTCGGGGTTTGTAGGGCGTTGTCAGGGGGTTCTGCTGGAAGGACTGAGCAAGCTGCCCCACTTTCTTCAACCGGTCTCCCCACTTGCTCATTCTAAGGTCCAGCTGATCACTTTCATGCAATTCAACGAGCCGGCAAAAAACAGAGGACTTGTAGCACCAATCCTCTGTTTTCAAAACATAACCCTGTTAAAATTAAAATAAAAGTTGAAATAAAAACCAGATAAAAATAACCCGAGGAGGAAAGGTTGTTAGGAAAGCAGTGAAAATAAAAGGTTTTGAATAAATATACTCAATTTTAGTTTATTGCAGGTTTTTCTTCAATGTGAGAATACACATTTTTTTTAAAACATGTATCTTATTGTTTTCATAATTTTGCCAAGTTGAAAACAGAAGCTTACATTTATGGTGAAGATACACTGAAAAGGTTTTACAGTAATGCCTGAAGTAAATAATAATAATAAAATAAATAAATAAATACAAAAAAAAAAAAATAATACAAAAAATCAAAATCAAAATTAAAAAATGACTGAAGTAGGGTGAGGGGGTGGGTCCTATACAACATTAAAAAATTATCTTGTAATAAAACAAAGACTTCCAATAAGGGGAAAATTTCTTCATTTAAATATTACATAACTAGCAATAGCATAAGAGCAGTGTCTGTGGATAGAATGAACATGTAGTTTCATCTATTTTTGTACAGAAAGTTTGAGTAAAATAAAAAAAAACAGGGTTTTAAAAATAAATCAGCCCCTCGAAAAACCTTTTCGTCTCAACAATGTTTAACCAGTTATACGTTTATTTTTGTTAATACTAGTTTATAGATTTAGTTCCTTGTTGCTCGGTGTGCTACATTACCAATGTATTTCCTCTTTGTTGTTCTTCGCTGTTTGGTTCAAAGACGGTGTATTTATGGAGAAAATGTCTAGTTCTAAACAGAATGTAAAAATCAGCTGTTTATGTTTTGGCGCTTCAAAAACCGGAAATGGACTTTCCGAACTCGGGGGGTTTACCTGAAAACAATGATTAAAACAAAATAAATCTAAAATTCATGTAAAGGCAGATTTTTTGTCGGTGTAACACAATTTCCGTTTATAGCCCTCTCATTTACGAATGGTATCATCCGCTTATCCATTTCCTGTATAGCTTTTTTCAAAATAAAATGTATTTATGGCGAAAAAAACTGTTGGGAAAAGCGATGTTGTCTAATCCCATAGATTTCTTTTTATCCAATCTCTTTTTTAGTTTCTACGTTTTGTTTTTTTCTAGTTGGGTAAAAGATTTACACTAAAAAAATGAATAAATGTTTGTACAAATTGTGCCATCTAAGTTGATCAGTGTACATGAAACTAAATTTAGTGATGAAGAACTCTTTTAATTAAATTTAATTGAACTTTATTGATCTCACAATGGAGAAATTAACTCTCTGCATTTAACCCATCCCCTTTGAGGAGCAGTGGGCTGCCACTGTGCAGCACACGGGGAGCAATCAGGGGTTAGGGTCTTGCTCAGAGACCCAGAGTGGCAGTCTGTAGGAGTGGGTTTTGAACTCACAATTCCAAGCCCTATGCCCTAACCACTCTCCCCCCGTTGAAATAGGATAGACAAAAAAAGGTACCCTCAAATAATTTGGAGCCTCTACTAATTATCTTTTCTTACAATAAAACAACAAACTTACCAAGATTTACCTACACCTGGATTCTGGGAAAAGGACTGAGTTTAATTTTCCATCATGCACAGATGTTTATTTTCATTTTGCCAAAAAAAGAAAATAAAACAACTGAAAGAAAACATTGTGCATTGTGTTATAACTTTATACCCTCTTATTAGAACTCTCACTGCACTGATCAGCAGGAGGAAAGAAAGAAAGAAAGTAAGAAAGAAAGAAAGAAAGAAAGAAAGAAAGAAAGAAGAAAAAAGAAAAAAGAAAAAAAAAGAAAGAAAGAAAAAAAATGTCTCAAGGGAGTGTTTAAATACTTTTGAAGAGATTCTTTCCCGTGAGAAGACAAATTCTGGAAGAACAGCTCTGTGTGTTGTTAACCGGGTTTCCTTCCACAGGAAAAAGTAGGGAGTTACATCAGTAGATAAGTATTCCCTAAGCTCTGCAAAAGCAATCAGTCCACTGTAGTTTGAGGTTCATAAAAAGGATCCTTAAAGTTACCCTTCAGTTTTTCTTCAAATTCCTTGAGGTATGTACGTCTCTTTGTACATTTAGCTGCATGGCACAGGGAAATCAGATTTTTGATCATTTGTAGCTCTTAAGAACTTGGCATTTGATTAAAATTCAGATGTGTTTCATTCTAACTTAGTAAGGACGGTTTTCTTTCTGTTCCTGCAGTTTAAAGAACTCCACTGCCTAACATGCTTTCCTGGGAAAGAATTCGTCTGGTTTTACTGACTGGGTTGTCTTTCTACAGCCAAGTAAGTGTGTGTTTTTTTCAGGAACTGTTTAAAACCAGAGATTTCCATAAAATCCTTTCACCATGTAATCATTTATTTTTAAGGTTAATCTCAGTACGTCAGAACTGCTGAATGCATCCTCTGCTGTTATTGATGATCTCTATGATGGATGCCGTGAAGAAGCCATGAAGAAGTTTAATCCTGACATTTTAAAACAAGAGCTTGGCAAAAGTGAAAAACTGGAGAAAGCTTGGAACAAATGGGAGCAAGAGAAAACAAAAATAAATTGTTCATCAAAGATCCCTGGAGGAAATAAAGAGCACACCTCTGCCCTGTCCGTCTACCACTACGGGGATAGAGACTTTATTAAGGAGCTGAATAATGCAGTGAAGATGATGATGATAAATGTTACCACATATGAAAATGACTTTCATTTCAAGGCCCTTCATTTCCTACTGATGGATTCCATGAAGTTGTTGAAGCCAAAGGAATGCAAGGAGGTATATTTAGTCCAGGAGGAGCAAATAAAACAAGAACCAAACTCAAGTGTAAGGTTTGCAAGTTTCATCGTTGCTGAAACAGACTTGGGATTGATTGATTATGCAGACCAAGTTGTTCTTAAAATAAAAACTGGCTTCTACATCGACCTGGGGGACCAGCTTTGTCAGAGATATCTTGGTAAAATACTCCTATCTCCGGCTGAAGTCTTCAACATAGAGACCGTAGCTGAAAAGGAGAATAAGGATGGTGATGAGTTCATTGAAGTTGTTTTGGCCCATTCTGCAATAAAAGGCAACCACAACTGTGTCATGTTTTCAAGGTAAGACGAACTGCATCCTCATCAAAGTTCAACAGATATCCACATTAAAACAAAGTAAAAAATCTCGGAATTATCCATGGGATCTTTACCTTAGTTCAATAAAGGTAGTTAACATACAATATGTTTCTGAAAATCTAACGAGCCTATATTGAGCCTCCCTTAAATATACCCTCCCACCACAAAATATGTTGGTTTTTAATTTAATGCCTGTTTTTTTTATTATTATTATTATTATTATTTTGTTTTTAGTAAATAAACAGTTGAGAAATCCAGTATGAGTTTAAATTAACAAATATAAACTGTCTCTATTATCTAAAATATGGTAATATCTTGGTTAATAATATTTGTCAGTTTCCCTTTGCTTCATAGCAAAAGGGAGCTCTATCAGTGAGGAGTTAACCAACCTTTGGAATTGTTCATAAAGACTAACAGTCTTTCCTGATAACATCTCTTAGCATAGAGCACACAGTCAAGCTGACTGCAGATTGTAAATTTATACAAGTTTGTAATACAATGCAAGAAGCTTGAGAAAACTTAGTTTGTTCCTCTTTACTAGTTTAAAACTAGCTGGGCTTCTCAGAGAACCATGACTCCCAGTTACAGGTTAAAATGTTTTCTTATTGAATAGACAGAATCAGACTGCAGAGCTTCTACATATCTTGAAATTTTGTTTCTTGCATCATTATATTAGTAAAGGGGTATATAATCTTTTTAAACAGAGCTCAGAGAGAAGCAGGAAGAGCTGCAGATTTAAAGCAAGAAACAATTTTACTGGGATATGCAACATGCACTAAAAATATATCTCCAAGTTTACCAGAAAGTTTACAAGAAAAAGATATCCTGTCCTGTATTTAAAATGCAGCATATCCATAATTTTCTGGATGGATGGATAGAATTGAAGTTGTAATTCTAGGAATGCATGATATATTGATTTTGGCATCGGAATCAGCTGTTATTCGTTATGAAAGCGTTCAGGTTGACCCACCCCCCAGGTGTCCCCACCAACTTTTATCACAAAGTTACACCCTTGGTCTGGGGGTTTTGTCTCCAGCAACATGATATGGTGTTGTGTTTGCGTTTAATCTCACCGTTATGTTCTGCTGCGTGTTTTTTGGATTTCTTTCTTTAAATGTTTTTGGAACAAAAATATTATGCTAATTCTGCACCAAAGATGGTGGTAATAATTTCAGACAAGATTTTACCGATTATTGAGGAATATTAACTAGGAGAACAGATTTTGAGGGATTAAAATGAGCAAACAAACCACCCACTTCTAACAATTAATTCATTCCAGTCCCTAGATAACAGGATAAATTCTTATCTCTCATGGCTCTCTTAAAGTTATGATCCAGCTTTAAGGGAATGCTGCTTAGGCTATTAAATATCCTAAAATGCATTTTGAAGGCCCTGGTTGTTTATAGAGCTAAGTGTGCATCATTTTGCTATATCTGGGGGGACTTCCTTCTGAAACATTAACTGTTTCTCACTTCACACACAGATGCTTCCACAATGTCAAAAAAGAACTGAAATTATTAAGATTATCATCGATGGTTGATGATGGAGATATACATGAAATAATCACTTCCATATTGACTTGTAGGGATCAAGACAGAGGAACACGGGGAGAGAAAGAAGATAAAGCACTATTGGAAGGGTAAGTCTAAGGAAAGGGTCACTACTTCCAAGGCTCTAATGAGTAAAAGTAGTGATTACATCAACAAAATAGCTATCTAAAATAGTTTTAAAATGAAGTTAGGAAAGATTTATGAATCATTATCTCATTTATTGAATTGGTTTAAAAGTACTGCATTTGAAATAATATACCTTATCTGTATGGAGGATGAATAGGGCCACAATACTATAAAACAATTACTGTCAGGACTCAGAGCAGAGGACCCAGTATTCAGGCTAGACAGACGGTGGCATAATTCAAAAGGCATTTATTTAAAACTGGCAGAGGGGAGTAGCAGCGGCTAGAGCGTCTAGGGCAGGAAATTCTGGAGAGAACAAACACAGGTTAGTGATTACGATAACCTGACGGAGGATGATAAGAACAAATTAGTTACTGACCTGGTTTAGAGTACAATCCATGCCCAGAGAATGAGGTAGGATCCAGACAGTGGCCTGCTGACAAGATGCGGCAGGCACCGCCCAAGGTGTCCCAGATGCTGCAGTCCCGGAGAACAGAGAAGCAAGCAGGAGTCCGAAGACAGGTCAGGCAAACAGATCAGAACAGGAACAGGCAGGCTCAGTGGTGAGAGGCAGAACAGGTCAGGATTAGGTGACAAGAAACACTCAGGTTTGCTTAAAACAATCTCACTTTTGAATTAAATGTATGACATATGTGTTTATGTTAATGTATTAACAATTTAATAGTTTCTTTAAACTTTAACACAATATATATCTCTGTTAAATCGTTGAACCTGTGCTAAAGCAACTTTTTGTTAGACAATTTGTGCTCCCCCCTATTTTCGTTTGCATCCTGTGTATTTCCTTGGGCTAAACTTGTCCTTAAAACCAAGTCAGGCCTCTCAGGAAAGGCAACCCAGCACCTAAATACATTGATCAACTCAGAGATCCAATTGTTGAGGGTTCCGCCAGTGAATAACATAAAAGCTGTTATGATTCTTAATTGAATCACCTTTTTACTTACTTTTTACTTTTGTCTTACAAATAACTGCAAATCCAATACAATGTGATCAGAACATAGCTTTAAACGAATAAACATATCAAAAAGTAAGCACTTCCTATCACTGTTGGAAGTAATTATTAGTTAGTTCCAGTCCCAAGCTAAAAGCATAAAGTGCTATGTATTTAAAGAACCAGGAGCTGCTTCCTGTTTGAAAAATAAAAACCTGGCTTACACTCTTAATTGGAGAGTAATGATTTGAAAGTGGAGATAGCAAACAGAGATATAGTATGAAAGTGTATTTTCTGTCGTTCCAAATTTCTAATTTTTTTGTTCATCTCCTAGGGGCTTGGTCTCTGATGATGCCTCTAACCCACGGCTTAAAGGAATAGTACACCCAAAACATGATTAGCCTTCATTTTCTACTCACCCCCATGCTGAACAACACTCTGGAGTACTTTTTTGATATCTCAAATGCATCTGGAGATCTGGGAGGCTTCTTGCTGTCTGCTGACATTCAAATAATGGAGGTCTATGGTGCCCGAGACAGAAAGGTCCATAAAAGTCCACAAAAAACGTGTCAATATTCCTCCATACTGCTCGTCCAATGTATTCCAAGTGTCCTGAGTGGGTAGCATCCAGAATTTACTCAAAACGAAGTCATTTAGAATGTTTTTAGAGCATAAACAGTAGTGTATAGGATTTCCTGAAAGCGCGCACATGCGCGTTCACGACGCTACGGAAGCCGGCAGACCAAGCCAGATGAAAGTGCGCATTCAGCGTCTGCTCTGCCAATAATGCAAGCGTAGAAGAAGAAATGTGCTGTTTACCTGTGCAAAGAAAGAAACAACGAAAGAAAAATGTCTGAGGACTTCAGTGTTGAGGAAGAGCACGAGTTCTTTGCCGAGCTGAATGTGCTGGTTTGGTCTGCCGGCTTCCGTAGCGTCGTGAACGCGCATGTGCGCGCTTTCAGGAAATCCTATACACTACTGTTTATGCTCTAAAAACATTCTAAATGACTTCGTTTCGAGTAAATTCTGGATGCTACCCACTCAGGACACTTGGAATACATTGGACGAGCAGTATGGAGGAATATTGACACGTTTTTGTGGACTTTTATGGACCTTTCTGTCTCGGGCACAATAGACCTCCATTATTTGAATGTCAGCAGACAGCAAGAAGCCTCCCAGATCTCCAGATGCATTTGAGATATCAAAAAAGTACTCCAGAGTGTTGTTCAGCATGGGGGTGAGTAGAAAATGAAGGCTAATCATGTTTTGGGTGTACTATTCCTTTAAATGCATTGGTCGTCTGAGAGCTCTTATTTTACTGTCCTGCCAGTGAAAAATAGGAAAGATGCAAGGACAGCTCGGATAGGATTATAGGATCTAACCACACCCAGTGCGGTCTGCTGTAGAGCTTATTTTTAGACATTCTTCAAATATGTGCAAATTCTGGTATTAAAACAAATGAGTCAGTGGAACATTTTCCATGTCTGCTGTATAAAAAAATACACTTCCAACTTATTTGAAAACACCTTTTTGTGTGTTTAAATCATTGTTTGTTCTAAGATCTCCAAACCCACTTTTCTTTTGTCCCTACAGGTCTGCAGCTGACTTCTCCAACAATTTGTTCCTTCCACTACTTGTGGCATTAGCAATGCTTTCCATGTGTCCTTAAGAGAAAGAAATCGCTGACTCTGAAATCACTGGAAAAGAAAATTAAAGCTCTGTTTTTGTAAAAACAAAAAGTACCCTGGAAACAGCCATCAATTAACTGAAAACAACTTTCATACAATGTTCTTTCTTTGTTGTGTTTATAAAAGTGGTAAAAAAAAAAAACCACTTCAAGTTAAGGTGTAGAACCCATTTGATAACATGGAGGTATGTCACTATCTGTGCCATCTTGAAAAGTTAAAGTGGCTACATGTTCCAAATTTAATGAAAGCAAAGCTACCAATAAGAATAACTGTAGCGAAATTAAAACTGATAGAAATGCATTTAAACATGTATTCAAAATGTAACATATGGAAGACATGCAGAACAATGTTTGTACCTGTGGCATGTCTTTCCACCTGTTACACATGAAGATATTTTCATATCTGAAGCATGTTTTTAATGTATTACACACATGACTGTTTTTTTTTCTTTTTCAACAGTGTTTATTGTTGTCACATGTGGATTTTTTCCCCCTCAGTTCCACACATTACTGCCTGATATCCATTGCAGAAAAAAATGAAAAGCATTTCATATATAGATAATTTTTTCTATTTCTACATTGAAATAATTTCCATATATGAAACACTTGTAAATAATTCCACGTGTGAAATGCATGTTCTTCATATGTTGCACATTTCAATATATACTTCAACTGTGCTTTTTGCTGTCACACACAGAATGCTTTCACACATAGTTGAATCTTGGCAGGTTTGTATGTTTTATTGCAGTCTCCCTAAGCAACCAATTTGTCTTTGGGCGAGGCAGTGAAACCCCAAGTTGCCTACTGATCCGGAGATCTGTGTTTGAATAAATGACAGCTGTGATTGCTTTGAGATAGCCTATTTCCAGTTGTAACGCAATGGACACCATATAGCCTCTACTTGTAACCCCAGGGGTTTCACATATGTTTCCCTTGTTGTATATTTAAAATGCACTCAATTTTCACTTGTAATGAGCAAAGTATTCATTTCACATGTTTTACATATCTACCTTGTGGTGAAACTTAGCAAACATTTCAACCAGGGTCCTCGTATCCACATGTGTACTTTATGTGTTGTTTTTTTCTGCAAGTTTTTATATTACACTGCCTTTTATGCTTTGCATGCCTTTAGTGAATTGGCAGGAAAAGTGTACAGAAAGGGAGTGCACATTGGTTCTAGTGTGTAAAACAAATAAAAAAGACACTGAAATAAATAGGCCATAATGTTGCTTATTTTGTGGTAAATTATAAAATCAAACAAATCAAAGAAATTTTATAACCTGATGTAAAACTTTATGACTCATTACTTATTTCACTGCAAGAAAATATGATTAAGTTGATGATAAAATGTGACGTGTCTGCTGTCATTTTTACAAGATCCCTTTGCAGCCAGTTAGCTTTTCTTTGTTTAGATCTGTTAAAAGCACCATAGCACTGCTTAAATGAAGAAAGTAGAAGACGTGGATCAGACATTAAAATCCATCTAGAATCCATAAAAAATGTTTATTAAGTCCAACAGTAATAGAAACCATAACCCTTAGACCTTGCAAATCTGAAGTTGCTCAGAGGTAAGCACTGTTACAAAAGTCTGAATGATTATTAAGGTTTGCGGACCGGCTGCTTTGTCTGATCCTGGAAAGAACAGCAAGAGTAATGCAGCCATGAATGGTTTGTGTTCTTAACATAGCTATTTATAAGGAATAGATAACAAATAATGGATGTGTCCAGGCTCAGAACTGTGGACTCAGAATTTCAAGAAGACAAACACATGATTTACAAAAGCGTTTATTAATAAACATTGAATCTGCGACTCAACAGCTAGAGCGGAAAAGGCCGGAATCTCTCTAGAGGGGAAAACTAAGGTTAGTAACCACATAAATCTGACGGAGGATGATTATGAGCGTATGAGTCACTAAACTGGATTTAAAATTCAGTCTGGGGCCAGAACTAGGAGTGGAATCCAGCCAGAAGATTTCCAACAGCATGCGGGGAACGCCTCCCAGAGAGTCCCAGGGGCAGAAGCCAAGAGCCTGCTGAGCTGGCTGATGAGCAGAAGCAAGGAGACGCAGGAAGGCAGGAGGCAAATAGATCAGAACGGGAAAAAGCAGGCTCAGAGGTCCAAGAACTAGTCAGGATCAGGCAATCAGAACAACAACAGGCTTGCTAGAGAACTCTCCTCAAAGGCTTGAATAATCTGGCACTGATGATAGGGAGCAAGCAGCTTAAATAGAGGCAGGAGCAGGCGAGTAATGTCACAATGGGCAGAGCCAGGCAGGTGAATAAAATTAACCATTAAGTCCGCAATCAGTGCCAAGATCATGAAAAGTTACAAAATGTTTGTATTTCAACTAATGACCAAGATTAAACTAACAATAACTGTTGCTCTGAAAACATGTCAGATATGAATTTGCATGAAGTTAAAAATCAAAATTGTGTGAAAGAGTTACTGAATCCTGAGCGGTCCATCAAATGCTCAGCTGTATGCAGGGCGCACATGTTGCTGGATTTCCCCCCCCCCCATTGCATGGAATGTTTGAGTTTAATCAATCCAAAGTGGGTGAAGATCATTTGAACGCCCAGTTTCAAAAGAAAAGAGGAAGCTCTTTTTCTCACGTTGCTCATAAAAGTTATTTATTGAGACATGCTACATCACTTCCTAAAAGAGCAGTCAGCTAGAAAAAACAGTTAGAGGAGTAAAAAGACACACCTAGGCACTTTACCCATTTTTGGTTTTCACTGTAATGAAATTTGCTCTCTGTAGTTGTTATATATATCTTATTTAAAGCTGGAATAGACTGCTGTATGCTAGAGCAAGCAGACCAGAAAAGCTTAAACCATATTTGTTCCACATCTGAGGTAGATTGAGGGTGATAGTAGAACCGAATCTAATATGTATACCGAGGGAAAAAAGCATCTGGTTTTACTCATTGTGTTGATTTTCTACTGCCAGGTAAGTTTTTTTTTTTTCTTTTTAGAAACCATTCAAATCCATTCCTTTTAATAAGAATATTTTATCAGCATGATTGTTGGTTGTTTTTTTTTTATTACCATTTTGTGGCCCTTTTATGTTTGTATGTAAAGTTTATTATAAATATAATGTATTATTATTTTAAAGGTTACTCTCAGTACTTCAAAACTGCTGAATGCATCCTCACCTGTTATTGATGATCTCTATGATGGATGCCGTGAAGAAGCCATGAAGAAGTTTAATCCTGACGTTTTAAAACAAGAGCTTGGCAAAAGTGAAAAACTGCAGAAAGCTTGGAAAAACTGGGAGCAAGAGAAAACAAGAATAAATTGTTCATCAAAGATCCCCGGAGGAAATAAAGAGCACACCTCTGCCCTGTCCGTCTTCTACTACTACAGGGGTACAGACTTTATTAAGGAGCTGAATAATGCAGTGGAGATGATGATGACAAATGTTACCACATATGAAAATGACTTTCATTTCAAGGCCCTTCATTTCTTACTGATGGATTCCATGAAGTTGTTGAAGCCAAAGGAATGCAAGGAGGTATATTTAGTCCTGGAGGAGCAAATAAAACAAGAACCAAGCTCAAGTGTAAGGTTTGCAAGTTTCATCGTTGCTGAAACAGACTTGGAATTGATTGATTATGTAGACCAAGTTGTTCTTAAAATAAAAACTTGCTTCTACGTCGACCTGGGGGACCAGCTTTGTCAGAGATATCTTGGTAAAATACTCCTATCTCCGGCTGAAGTCTTCACCGTAGAGACCGTAGCTAAAAAGGAGAATAGTGATGGTGATGAGTTCACTGAAGTGGTCTTGGCCCATTCTGCTCTGAGAAGCAACCACAACTGTATCATGTTTTCAAGGTAAGACCTCTTTAAAGTTCAACAAATATCTACATTAAAACAAAGTAAAAACCTATGTCCTCATCAAACTTCAGGGAGTCAGTGAGTAGTTATCCAACCTTTTGAATTGTTCATAAAGAGTACACTAACTAGTATCACTTTAAGTCATTCCTGATAACCTTTTTTAGCATATAGCACAGAGCCAAGCTGACTGTAGCAGCAGGAAAATTGAAGAAGTCAGGCTGAGAATATAAATTGTGTATCTATAGGAAAGTTATTTTTAAAAAGCATTGCTTTAAGAGCACCGATATGCAATGGTAAAGAGTACTGTCACTTTTTTCCCAGCTTGCACCACCTACAAGGACTTCTTTCCATTTCCCCCTGCAACCTCCCCTTCCATCTATCCCGACCTCTCCACAGTTTACAGAGGAAAACAATATAAAAACCTTTGATTACTCCATGTCATCCTTTCCTCTAAAAGTGTGGATAATAAGTTTACATTACAATATTTTTCTAAGTGTGTTACACGTTTCTTGGTGGCATGTTTTTAATAAAAATTAGAGGCAACCCACTACATGCACTGATCAACACAGACAATGTAGAGGACTACATAATCTTACCACACCCAGTGTTATGTCCTGTCACGCTCATTTTTACTCATTCTTCAGCTATTTGCATTGTTCTGGGATCAAAACAAATTAGACAAAAAACTGCTACCATGCCTGCTGTAAAACAAATTATACTCCCAGTTTAATAGAAAACAGATTGTGTGTGGGTGGGTGGGTGTGTGTGTGTGTGTGTGTGTGTGGGTGTATTTAAAACCAATTTTCTTTATCCCCTCAGGTCTGCAGCTGACATCAATGCCCATTTGTTTCTTCCTCTGCTTGCAGCATTAGCAATATTGTCCACATGTTTGTAAAATAACTTCTTCTGACCTTAAATTTGTCCCAAAAAAAAAAAAGGTTTTTGTAGATGTCTCTTTAGTAAAATCCATCAGATAGCTGAGAACTGGCTTAATAAAATGTTTTCATCTCATAAGTGTTTATAAAAGTAAACAAAACAATACTTGAAGTTAAAATGTTTTTGCAATGGGATCGCATGGAGATATATCTCATTTTAAGATCGAAAAGCTAAAGAAAGTCAATGCATGATTTAGATTTGCTAAAAACATACAGAATAAAAAGACTGAAGCAAATTGGGAAATATTTTGCTATTACTCTTGTCAAATTTTGAAATATATGAGTTAAGAGAATGAAGCTAGGACATAGTGGGATTGGAGTCATTGCAAATAGGCATTTTGTTCCGGGAACTATAGTTATTTTTATTGGTT